GGGGGGGGGGGGGGGGGGCCCAAGAAAATCAATCAGAAATGTGTTTTTATTCCCGATGATATGTCTCCAAGTGTGTCCAACTGGATTGGGCGCAGGCTGGCAGAGTTAAAAAAAATCCACCCCCATATAATCCACTGTGGGCCTATTGGAGTCTAAAGTGTTCACGCAGATTTGCATAAATTCTCTCGCAAAAGAAACCCAGGTTGAACCGACTGACAGCCATTAACGGAATCCCATCGCCTGCTTGTGTGCCACGGGTTCACCTTTGAGCATCCGGCATTCAGATGTGTGCCGGTGGCATCGGTTCAGTCGTGAGAAAATACCTCTGAGCATGTTCTGAAGGGGGGGGGGCACCAAACCCCCAGTGGAAAAACCAAGCGGTTTACAGCCTTCCTTAATCTCTCATCAGCATTAAAAGAGGAAAAACTCATTTTTAAGAGCCGCCCTGCAGAACTGGTTCGACCTCGCAGTCAGGGCGCAACAACCAGAACACAAAACTGCATATTTACTGTATGCTCACATCATCACCATGACACCACAGGAAATAAGAGATCAGCCTTGGGTGGCATGTTGCGCTGCGTGAGCTCCGATACAAACCATAACCGTGCCACATAATAAGGATAAGCAGCATTGATTGAGGCTAAATAAAGGGGATCGATATGAACTCACTATCGGCTGCCCACGTTCATGCTCCCAAGTCCTGAATATTACAGAAAGCATCTGCGTGCGATATTAAAAACAAACAAAAAACAAAAGGGGGGCTGGCTGGCGACCACCTGAAACACCAATAAAAGAACTGTTCATGCTGGGGAGGGAGGATAAGGCGTGTGTCAGCTCGCAGTCATATGTGTTTGACACACACACGCGCGCGCGCACGCACACATGAAGGGATAAGTGCAGATGCGCATAAACGCTTCTGCGCTGGCATACATGATAAGTTCTTCCGTGCACGTCCACAATAACCAAAACAACTACACACAGAGAGAGACAACCGACGGCAGACGGAGCTCACCATATCCAGCATCCCGCCCGGCGCCGTCCGTCCGTCGGGAGAGAGAATTCAAAAAATATACAAAACTCGCAGTCTGAATAGATTCGAGCTCTCCGTCCGTCGTCCGCCCGTGTTACATCCACCGTGGCTGCAGCCGCTCTGCCCGAATAATCCAGCGCCGTGCGTCTCTCTCTCCCTCTCTCTCTCTCTCGCTCTCCCTCGCTCTCGCTCCAATAATTTCCTACTCGGTGAGGAGGCTCAACGACTCGGTAAGGTAGCTGTTAAATCCCCCCCCCCCCTTCCGCGCGGTGTGGTGGCTGGAGCGAAGTTGGGGCAGATTTAAAAACGCAGACGCCACGCGTAATAATCCCTGCGACGGTTCTTTTTTTTTGGGGGGGGGGCATAATGTAGAGTGGAGCGATGTGGAACTCCCTCGCCCAGTAAAAAGAGGACATTGTCCCGGAGGACGATGTGGAGACGAGGTGGATGGATCAATGAGGAATAGAATGTCAATCTTAAAGCATTTGATCTCATTTTATATTCATTTTTTAAAAAAAAATATTTGATGAAATCAACACAACAAAAAAAGCAATGTCTGTTTCAATAATATTCTATGGTTAATTTAAGCCACTCTACTTTTTTCCAAACAAACTGAACATCTTCTCCTTGATTTTGTTCAAATTTAAACTCAAATCTAATTCAACATGTTGATTTTTTTTTTCTTCCATTTTTGATTTTCTTTTTCCTTAAACTGTTGGGTTTTGGAGATTAGGAAAAGGGTCAATGGCAGGCACAGATTATCCGTTATCTCCGGTGAGGAGCATAAACTCACACATTGCATGTCATCCAGGCCAACAGTTTCCAAACTGTGGTCAGCGGTAAAAAAAGAAAAAGGAAAATCCTCAGGTGAACGTTTGACTCGTGTTTATTGCAGAATTGATGTGACAACTATGAGGCGGTTTGAATCTGAAAGTTCTTCTCGTCAACTGCAGCACAGACAGTTGTGTGATGATTCTATAATTGAATCGAAAATCTTCCCCAGATTGGACTGCGGAGAGCACAACGTGATTCCGGCAGTATGCATGTGAGTGATATAGCTCTCTGTAAAGCGTATTTGTACCGCAGTACTGAGTGTAGCTCTACTGTTTATTTATTTGAAATTTGATGCATCGGTTTTTGAGAAATCTTTGAGAAGAGTGCAGATAAATAAAGGTAGTTTTACCAAATGAGTACTCACAGAATTAAATTGTACGTGACGGCACATGAGGTAGGTGCAAGGACAATATGGGGGGGGGGGGGGGGGGGGGG